GTGGGGGGAGGCAGGGGGTGGGAGGAGAGCTGGGGCTGGCACCCCACAGAGCCCAGACCTGATGAACCCTATTATTCTCTGACACGAGCATGTCCTCGGCTGGGCCCTCACGGAGGAGCTGAGCAGCGTTGCTGGGAGACGGGGCTCTCCTGGGCTGAGCTCTCCCTGCCGCTGCCCTGGGCGCAGGGACAGGACAGTCCCCTGTGGAAGGAAACCCAGGCGGCCTGGAGGGTGGGGTTTGTGGGAAGACTCAGCAGGCAAAGGCAGTGGGCCCCGGGCATGACCACCCACTGTGCAGAGCCTGTTCTGAGGGCTCGCCCACGCCCCCTGCTGTGTTGCCCGGAGAAGGCACCCGCCCACTCTGGGTCCCAGGTCCCCTGCTCACAAGTGGGCATTGCAATGCCAGCCCCTCCCTTTCTGTCGGGAGGAAGCAGCCTCAGAGTGACCCGCTTCATTCACAGACTGGAGTTCAGTGAGCCCAGCCCCGAGGTCTGGGGGCAAATGCCACCCGCCTGACCCCTCGCTGACTCACCCAGGACAGACCCAACCTCGGAGTTGTCACCTGGACGGTGTGGGGATAACAGCATCTTTCACGGGGTAAAGCGGAAACACACGGACCCCCGGGAACTGAGGGGCACAGTGCCGGCGTGAAATACCAGAGCCACCCTGTGTGAAGCACTTCCCGGAAGCCCAGCAGCTCACTAAGCCCCTCGAAAGCCTCGGCATTGAATGCGGTCCTCGCCCCTTTTCCCAGAGGAGGCAGCGGAGGCTGGGCAAGGCAAGTCCTTTGCCGAAGGTCACACAACTAGGAAACGGTGAGCCGGGGTGTGCGTCCAGGGCTGCTTGACTCTGAAGCCCCGATCCCAACCATTACTACAGTAAGTGCTCGTCGAAGGAACCCTCCACGTTGACCAGTCATCCCATTTTACAGCTGAGAAAACTGAGGCTCAACGAAGAGAATGGCCCCAGTCACAGTGCTGCTGCTGCTGCCGGAAGCAGGCTGCTCACAGTTACTGAGCACTTACTTACTAGGTGCTTTCTGTGCAACATTACATGCAAATTTCACAATTACCCTCGAAAGGGAGAGACTTTTATTCGTCTCGATTTCCATTTGGGTAAACCGAGGCAGAAAGGGGCAGTAGCTTTCTCAAGGTCACACAGCTAATTACCAGGAGAGGCAGGACTCACACCCAAACGTCAAGCCCTGGTCCAGTGCCACTTGCGACACTGCCTCCCTGCAGAGCCGACGCCGTCCTTGCCCAGCAGCCCGGGGCCCAGGCACCTTCCCTGCCAAGGGAATGGGGTCTGCGGGCTCCCAGGGCATGGCCACCCGGGCAAGGCAGCACCAGCAGGAGCCCTGGCTGGGAAGGCGCTGCCGGAGCTTCACTGCCTAGGGAGATGGCACGGAGCCGGGGCTGGCAAGCCCAGTTTGCCCGACGCCATTAGCCCCCTGCCTCTGGAAGGGAAGTTTATCCAACAAAATGCAGGCGAGCAAAGAACACGTTCTGCTTCTGTCTCTTGTTGTAGGCGGTGCACATCTTGGGAGATGTGTGGATGAAAGGCGCCATAGCAAACGCAATCAATTATGGATCACCATCACTGAATTAATCACAGTGTGATTAATAAGGTAATAATAATTAATGGGAGTACGGGCTGGAGATTAGAGCGGAGAACTGACAGAGAGGAGCCGGGTGCCTCTTGCGGCCTCTGCCACCGCCTGGAGCTGTCACCTTGGGGACGGAAGGCGTGGGATTGGGGCTTGGTCTCTCTCCCTGCCCCTGCCTCGGCGTGGAAGGAAAGGGCCCAGGCTGGCCTGCATACTCCTAAGGGTGCTGGGCTGGTTCCCAGGATCTTAGCACCTCCTGACAGCCGCATCTCAACTGCTCAAGGTCAAGGGGACGAATCAAACTCTTGGTCTGGCTTCACAGAGACGAGTGAGCCAGCAAAGGGTGAGGACATGTGGGCGTGGCTTCTGAGTTTCCACTCGCCTTTCATCAGTGGTGTGAGCTCATTTTATCTGTCTGTCCTTTTGTCTGTCTGCACCAGGTTTTGCAGAAATCTCCAGAGGGCTTGGACCTCACCTGTTACCTCTCATTGCAAAACGAGTAGGTCACTTTTGTGTGTGACTTTATAATTTCCTGTTACGCATCTACCCCATGTATGCATATTTCCTCACTGCTAAGGAGTCAAGCAACACAGAAAGGACATATAGAATGAAGCCTGCCGTTGCCCCATCTCCCTGTTCACACTTTGGCATCTTTATTATATACATGTATATGTCTCTCTCTACATATGTAGAGATATATTCATATATCTCCTTATATGTCCTTTTATATATATATATCTCCTTTAAAAAAACCAGATGGAGTAGAACTAAATGCATTGTTCTGGAGATGCTTTTTGATAGCAGATTCCACATACACAATTCAAATGACAACTGTGCCGTGGAGCCAAAATCCCACCAATGAAGAGGGTGATTAGGCTGCGGTGAGAGGGAGCCAGTGATCATGGGGGGAGACTCATTACCACTTCCCTGCCCCCGGTGCCTGGCTTCTTTCCATTGCCGGGAAAGGTCATTTGTCAGAAGGTGCCGTAATGAAGTTTAAGAACGAGCGTCCCTTGCCCACCTGGTTCCCCCGTGGCTGGAACCCTATCGCTTCCCATCCTGGGAAACAGCACTTCATTGTTCACTTGGAGACTCGGCTCTGGGAGGCTGCTACGGCCTGGCCTGTGGCCAAGTCAGGATCAGCGCACAGGGACCTCCTTCCGGAGCCAAGCCCCTCATGATGCAGATGGAGAAACTGAGGCCAGGAGCGGAGAGTGGTGACCCCAGGCCACAGAGCTCGTTAAGGGCGGAACCGGGAGAAATCCATCACCCTGACTCCCAGGGCAGTGCTCTTTCCACTCCCCCATAATCCCCAGGGCCTGGAAACGGGAAGATGGAAGACAGGCCTGTTGGCCTCAGCTCTTTGGAGAGACAGGGGGTCCTGGGGAGGGGGGGCGGAGAGCTCTTTGAAACCTGGCCTGCAGCAGCACCCAGAAACCCTCTGGCAGTAACCGGACAGACCCTTCCCTCCCCGGTGTTTAAAGAGCCGCAGTAAGATCCTCCTCCGCTTCTTGTTGGCTGTTGTGACAGCAGCCAGTCTCCGCGAAGATGGAGGAGCAGGGCGGTTCCCAGGAATCGATGACCCTGCCTGGGGGGGCCATCACTCACCCTGCCTGCCAGGGGGCCCCACACCTGTGCAGCACTGCTGCCTGCAGGCCCAATGCTTAACCATCACAGGGAGCTGTGTTCTCGGAGGAGGAGCTTCGGCCCGCTGGAGGCTCCGAGGCCTGGGCTGGCCAGCATCTGGCCACAGAACAGCTCTGGGGGGGAGGGGGGGGGCTCTCTGGCGGGCGGGTGGATGGGATCTGAGTCCATGTGCAGGGGGAGCCCCCTTGTTTTGACCCCTCTTTGGGAAAGAAAGACTCACTATTCACATCTCACAGATGGGGAAACTGAGGCCCACAAGCCATCTGTGTGGTGCCCCCCAAGTTAACCAGCGAGCCAGGCAGTGGCAGAGGACCACCTGGGGCCCGAGAACCCTGCCTCCCAGGTGAGAGACTTCCTTAGCTGTGTGACCTTGGGCAAGTAACTTCACATCTCTGAGCGTCATGCATCCCTTGATACAGGGCTGTTGGGAAGAATCAGTGGCTAATACACCATCTGGTTTGCATGGAGCCGGCATAAAACGGGTATTTCACACATGTCAGCTATTACTATTATTATTATTAAAGCACATGGCAGTCTTTAACTCTGCACCCTCGGCCTGCTCTGTGACAACAGTGGAAGTGGGATCAGCAGCGCAGCCCCCCTCCAAGCTGAGGGGAGCCAGGAGCGGGGAGGGTTAGGGCGGAGGTCGGAGATGGCGGAGGGTAGGTGCCGAGGGGCCACACCTTGCTCCTATGCCTGACACCCTCTGTGACCTTGGGCGAGTCTCTCTCTCTCTCTCTCTCTCTCTGTGTGTCCTCAGGCTCTTTGTTCTTGATGCATCTAAATGAGGGTGCTGCCTGCTGTGTGCTGCGGAGAGAAACACCCTGGAGGGGGCCAGGAGCCCCTGAAAGTCCCGGGAAGGCCCGAAGCTCTGCCCACCGCCCTGCCAGGCAGCCTGGCGGGAAACCCCCAGGGGGATTGAGAGCCCAGGGCTTTCCAGGGCTGCCAACTGGTGGCCTCTGCCCTGGCCCCCGTGGGAGTCCTCCCACACCCTCCTCCCCTGCTAACCAGGGACTGCGCCCCTCCTGCCCCCCTACTCTGCTCTCCCTCCTGAGCCGCTTGGCGGCTCCAAAGCAGGGCCCATCAGGGTGGAGGCGGCATGTGTCAGCTGGTATTCAGGCTCTGGTTGTGCGCTCACAACGCTCCCCCTCCCCATCTTCCCAAATCCACCCACCCACCCCTTTACCCACTGCTCGGGGCCTTCTGGGCGGCAGCACTTGGCGGAGGGAGTCAGAGCAGCAGCCTTGCGCCCTTGGCTGCTGGGGTAGGCGGACTGACTCACTCGGTCCCCTCCCCGGTGCCCATGGGGCAGCCCCCACGCCCATGGGCGCTGGCACCCCGTCAGGCCCCTGGGTTTGGGGAAAGGAAGCTGCCCCCCGG